AGAAGGAGAAAAACTAAAACGTCAAACAGTCCTTTTTTCCCCCCCTGGGCATTCATTCTGCGCAGGCGCCCAGCCCAGGGCTCCACACGCCTGTCCCTTCTCAGTCCTCAGACTCCTTCCAGGTTGTGAAAACATGGTTCCCATTTTCAGATGTAAAAGCCAAGGCTGGAGTCTCAGGGACTGAGCCAAAGTGCCCCAGTGCAGAAGGGGAGGACGTGGCGGGGCCTGTGGGGCCCATCCCAGCGCAGCAGGGAGGGCTGCGGGTGAGCCCCCACAGCCTGCCCCGGGCACATGGGGCTGGAGCAGCTCACCATAACCGCTCAGAAACGCCCAAAGGAAAATCTACCCAGACCAGCGTGGGGAGTGGAACGGAAGAGGGGCCGGCAGAGTGGCCCATGTCTCTGACCCTCTGGAAAGATGTCTCTTCCAGGCCTTTTGGGTCCCCACCGTACCCCAACTGAGCAGCCCCCGCCCTCCCTGGGGCATCTGACCCAAACCTGCTCCCATGAGAAGGGCCAGAAAACAAAGATCTGACCCATCTCCTCATGTCTGCTCCTGGGCTGGAGACATCACTGTGCAACAAGATGTCACCTCCTGGAACTATTCTTGTCCTAGGCTAGGCCCTGCCTCGGGCACTTCAGGAGACTGAGAGCTGAAGCRCTCGTGGAGGCTGACGAAGACAGAGCTGTACAAACCCCAGGCTTCATCGACTGCAAACTTGCCGGAGCAGGGGCTGCAGCAGTGAGAAGCAGGGGCTTCCAACTGGAAAACCCCAGTTCTTCCTTCAAGACAGCTTCCTCCTCCAAGAAGCCTCCCTGGATCTCACCATTCCTCCCATCCACCCATTTGTTCTATCCACGTGCAGTGGGCAAGGACTGCAGAGGTGACTTGCCTTCGAGGAGTTTCCAAGGGGAAGCAAACATCTGCAGGTAGAGCACAGGGGGCTAATAGGCAGCATAAATTGAGCATCTGCTATGTGCCAGGCCCCGAGCTCCTGACAGGCCCCCTGTGCATGGTCTATTAATAGCCATGACTTGAAGAAACCAGGCTCAGAGAGGCTAAATCTCATCCTGAAGGTCACACAGAATGGATTCCAATCTCTCTCTGGAGCCTCATTACATGAAAAGTTCAGTGTTCATCCATTTCCACGTGGACAGAGCAGGATGATCAAGACTGGAGAGGAGATAAGACTCAAACCTCACACTAGAACAGAATTCCCACTGTCAGTTAAGCCCCTGCAGACTTTGAGAGGTGTCTTCTTCTCCCAGGAAGGCCAGGGGGCAGTGATGATTGTATCCCTCTTTACAGATGGGGAAACTGAGGCTTGGAGAATCTGAATGACCCGCTCCAGGTAATGGAACCTGCAGGTGGCAGTGCTAGGACAGGAGCTTACAGCTTGAATTCCAGACTTGTAGCTCTTGCCAGAATATAGTGCTGTCTCTCCCTCTCTGGAACCTTTCCCAAGTCTCAGAGTGCAGCCCGGGGCCCAGCGATGGCAAGGTCCCACATGCACCTGGGGATTCCAGTTTGTGGCCCCGTGCCTTTCTCAGGACCCTCTGTGCCCCTCCTGCCTGCCTGTCCTCCTCTCTCCTAAACCTGCAAAGATCCCACAGGACCCGCAGATCTCCTTCATCAATAACAGGCTTCACCTCCATGAACCAGACTCTGCGTCTATCCAGCAGAATCCTCTGGCTCTCTTGTTAAAAAAAAAAAAAAAGAAAGAAAGAAAATGCAGATTCTAACCCAGCAGGTCTGCGGCAGGGCCCTAGATTCTGCACTTCTAACCTGGTGAGGCTGGTGCTGCTCAGAGGTTGGAGGACTAACTCTGGGTAGCAGGGGTGTAGAATGGGGCCAGGCTGCCCTGCCTGGGCAGGGTAGGCTGACCCAGTCTCTCACCTGAGTCTCAAGGGGTCAACTTTCATCCCCGTGGCCTAAAGGGTGCCCCCTTGCTCTCCTGGGAGCACAGGTAACTGGAAGGTGGCCTCTTGCAGAGCACCATGGGGCTGCCCTCAGGCCTCTCCACGCCCTCTCCATCCCAGAGGGGCCTGGGAGCAGCAGTTGCCTTGGGAGGGTGAGCAGCCTGTGCTGGCTGAGCCCTGTCCTCCTCCCAGCCTCGGGAACTGCRGGAGGGGCTCGCCTCTGCTCCCCGRCAGCCCTCATTGAAATTTTGTCCTTGCCCAAGAATCCTCGGTTGAGAGCTCATCCCTATTAATTCTCCTTGTGCATTTAGAGCCAATAGGCTTTTATTTATTCATTTATCTTGTCTTTCATCTCCCTCCCCTTCCTCGCCAGGCTGGAATTTACAATTTGGTTCCCAGGTGGCCTTGTCGGAGGACAGGCAGGAGGCCTGGGAGAGAGGGTCTGCACGCAGGATCTGAAGACAGCGCTGCCCCTCGGCCCCTCTTAAGTCCTGGGCTCACGCCTAGGACRGCTGCAAGCTGGGACAGGCAGGCCCACATCTGCCAAAGGAGGGGCGCAGGGGAGCAGGGACCCACTGAACCTTAGCAAGGCAGAGGGGCATCGGGTGGGCTGGCTGCCGCTCTCACGCCCCCTGGTGGCTGATGAGCCACCTGCTCTGACTGGAGGCGTTTAGAGACTCACTGGGCAAGAATATGCTCTGCCTGCTGCCTGGAGACTGGGAACGCAGGGTGTGGTGTCCTCAGGCTGGAGAGAGGCAGAGAACTCCWGGGAGGGAAGGAAGGAACCAGGGAGGGAGGGAGGAGGGAGGAAAGGTGGGCCAGAGCCACAGGAGTAACAACAGTAGTGATCACCTAGTAGCAGTCACTGACCGTGGGGCACCTACTTGGTGCCAGCAARTGCCCAGCGCATGCATGGCCAGGCTGTGTCCTCCCACCAGCACTGTGACCCTCCTCAGTACTGTCTCCATCGAAAGAGGAAGAAACAAGGCTCAGGGAGGTCAGAAGCTCAGAGAGGGTGGACTRTGCCACCTGCAGGTGTGCACATGACCAGCTACAGACAAGTTCCTGGCCTGCCCTCTACACAGGGTGACCTTGACAGGACTTAGGCAACCCTTCCTAATCCCTAAGGAGGGATCAGAGCAGGCCTCACCCTGGGGCATCCTAGAAATGATTAAATGGGAAATGCCGTGGACCTGTCCAGGAGGGGCCATGGTACACAGTGGTGCTATGTTTGAATCCAGACTGGAGGTGACCTCACCTCCCTGCAGAAGCCAGCCTCCACCTGCCGGCAGCCTCCCAGACTCATATTGTGTCCACATTTGTAATCAAAGGCAGAGCCGTCATGAAATATTCACATCCACCAAACAGGTGGCGCGTCGCTGAGGACTTGGCCACGCGGGGTCTCTGGATGCTGACCTTCCTCCCTGCGCTCTTCACCTGCCTTCCAGGAAAGGAGCGGAGCGGGAGGAGCGCTCCTTCGAGACCCCAGGGCTCAGGTTCRGCCAGCATCAGGACCTGTAGGGGCGCCACCGCCCCGGGAAGCTGCGCAGGGTGCTGTCTGCAGGGGGGAGGCAGGGCAGTCCAGGGCCAGGGGTCCCTCGGAGCTGGCTTTGACCAGGAGAGGGCCTCGGACTAGCATGTGATGGTCATCGTCACCCCCTGATCCCTGGACTGGAAGTCCCTCCTGTGAATTACTATTTAACTGTCCCACTCCCCTGCCATAATAAGATAATAATAAATACTTAAGAGGAAGAAATAAAGCTGAGGCTCTACACCAGGAGCAGAGGTTGACTCGGCCAGGGAGCAGGTGGACCAAGATGTGGACTCAGAACCACGCTCCCGGCTTGGCCTTAACCCTGACTTTCAGGGCCCAGCCCCCTGGCCTGTCCCTGAGCCAGTGTGGCCCTGCGGTCCCCATAGCAGTGATGCCCACGGACTATGCGATCCAGCCCTGGCTCCCAGCCCTGTGCTGCTTCCCCCTCCCTCCCCAGCTGGCCCTGGCCCAGCCACCACCCACGGTGACAGCCTTATCTCCACTGACAAGCCCACGTGGGAACCGACCTTCCCAGGCTGCTCTGTGCTGGGACTGAAGATGTCCCACGGGACTGAGAACTTCAGGAAGCCCAGGTGGGGACACCGGGTGGCCCTGCATAACCCCAGAGGCCTGGTGGCTCCCCCAAGGACATTCAGAGACACCAGCCACCTGGAAGATGACTCTGAGCCCCTCTGTGGCTGCAGCCTGGTGCCCTACCCAGCTTCCTGCTGGAGGGTGGCTCGAGGCCGTTTAGCTCAGCCACTTGGGAGCCAGACACTCAGCSGGAATCACAGCTCCACCACCTCCTGGCGTGAGACCCTGGCCGCGGGCCTTCACCTCTGCTGACCGCTGGAGTGCCAACAGCTAACACCTCAGGGGACTTGCTCTGTGCCCAACCCTATTGTGAACAGATGTTCCTCAAGCCACCAATTCCTTCCAACTACCCTATAAGTGTGCTCCATTGGTGTGCCCATTTTACAGATGGCAGAACAGAGTCCAGAGATGTCACTGGTCTGGAGGCTACCCCCTAAACCTGCTACTTTATATGACAGAGCCTGGGGGTCTGGGGGGACTCCACAGATCCCTTCTTGCAACCCYTTTCTGCAAAGCGCCAGCTCTGTGCTGGCACACGCTGGCCTCATAGCTGTCCGATGGATTGGGCTGGGTGGACAAGGAGACTGCRCAATGGAAGGGAAGAACCCAGGCAGGTCCAGTCCACGCTCACTCACTCGCCCAGGGGCAGGCTCCCTACCGGGAGGCGGGGCTTACCTTTGAGGCTGCAGAACTGGGAATACTACTCTCTTCCTGAGAGAAAACCATCCTGTGGTCAGCTGGCCAAAACTGCCCTAACCCCAGAGGGTGTCACATGACCCAAGGGCTGCTAGGCTTTGGCCCATTTCCAAGGTGAGACAAAGGCCTGTTCCCAATCCAAGACACAGGAGTCAGCCTTGTGACTTGGCCCTCCTGCTGGGTTCACCACCCCAAGGGTCTGACCCAGGCCCCCTCCCCTGTGGACTGAGCCAGAGATGGGCTGGGGGTGCACTTACATGGGAGCAGAACCTCTCAGGGGGGTCTCCACACGTGATGCCCGAGGGCTCCACCTTCACCCTGACGTAGTCCTTCAGACGCATTGCCTTGGGCTGGCAGGCGTAGAACTCCCAGGTGGGGCCCTCATCCGTGGTCACCCAGGATTTGCAGATGTCGTAGTCCCCAGAGGCCAGCGGGAGGCAGTGCAGGAAGAGAGCCAGCAGGTGCAGCATGGCTGCTCAGTCCGCAGGGGCACAGCCCAGAGAGGCCCTGGAGAGGCAGCGGCAGGGTCAGCTGGGACTTGCAGCCTCAGCATGGAAATGCCACATCTACCAGGCGATGGCAGCTGGGATGTCCCAGAGCCTCAAGCACTGCAGGTTTGCAAACAGTGAGGAGCTTGTTTTTTCCGAAAGGCCGATACAGAAAATTCAGAGCCAGCGTTTCTCAAACTGCTGATGGACAGATCAAAAAGTTGCCCGTAACTTTGCGTCCTTGTAACCTTGGCATTCCACCTCCCCCGGAGGTGGATCTGATCAAATCAAGCCGACTCTCAAATTGTGACAGTGGATGGAAATGGGATAAGGAGACAATCCGCAGGGATCCGGCATGGGGCTGGATCAGATTGCTTTTAATTTTTGTCCTTCCAATCAATCCAGGTCTTTAAAAGGCCCTTAACGTGGGATGTGCTCAACACAACTGCGTACGTAACAAACCTCCAGCCTGCATTGTAAAGATAAAATAAAATCAGGAGGTACACATGTTAGGTATACGTGTTCCCTCTTTGGGACTGGACTTGGCATCTCAGTCCAATAAAAGAGATTTCTTTTCATTTGGACAAAAGTATCAACAACTGGGCAGCTGGACTGGAAATAAAAAGCAACTGAGGTGTTAACCAGGCAGGCTGTTTGGCTCTGCTTTGGTGGGGACAGGCACTAATGGGGGCCAGCTGACCTTGGCTGGTAGCCACCAGCAACTTATCAGCAACTTATTAGGAAGTTCCTGAGACTCCAGCTCTCCATCCACCCAGAATCCCAGGGTCTGGCTTGTCTTTCATTGTAAGAAGGGAGGAGAGAGGAGAGAGCAGGAGAGCTCATTAGCAACAACACCTGCAACAAATTAAAAGAGGGGAGATTAGGGATGTATAAGAACAAAAGCTCTCTGGCAGAATGTGCAAAAAATGAGGCTGCATTAGCAAGATCTCCCGAGAAAACTGGGTTATTTTTATTAATATTGGAGTTGCACATTTGGAGATTGGGCACGTTATTAAAAAGGTGAGGTGTTTTCTCACCATTCATGGGTGCAGCAGAAGTGTCTGCCCAAGGGCCACAGGCCCAGGCGCCAATAGTTAATGGTTGCTTTAAAATACCATGCCCTGCAAGTCAAAGTGTCAGAGTTGTTAAAGGAGGCGGGGAGACTGTAACTATAGGTGCAGATGAGGCCACACCTACAGGTACAGAATGGGCCACGTGTGGCCAACAAAGAAACACCAGGCATTGACAACTACCTCTTCAATTGCAGGTACAATCTGAAATGGCGACTTTAATTTTTTTAACAGTAAGAAACTAAGATATCGAAGACTTCCACAGAAATGATAATGTTTTGTCATATCAGATTTTCTGATCAAGGCCAACATTTTGCAATCATCTTTGAAGGGTATGTCTATAAATGGATCACTATTAGGATTACTGCTTTACTATTTTAAGTCTCTGGTAATTATTTAAAAACCAAAATAGATATAACTAATACAAATGTTACTGGGAAACACATGGCTCGGATGATGTGGTGATCCCAGGCACTTAATACATCACTAGGACAATCCGAGTCCAGTCAGCAGCATGGAAGCCTAGCCCAAAGAACTGGCCAACAGGGCAAAGGTTACTGCAATGAGTCACAGCATAAAATGTCTGTGTTATTAATTATTTTGGTTGTTACGCCCACGATTATGCATTTCAATTCCCAAATCATGCAAATGGCAGCCTGACTCTTCATCTGACATCCTTTTAAGCCACTGTTCACGGGTGGTCTCTGGGGGGTTAACTATATTTTCATGAAGCCCCACTTATACCCAGATACAAACAATGGCTTGCCAAAAATGAGAAACGGAAGGCCAGACACTGCCCGCCTGGGTGCTGAGCTTGTCTGCTCTGGGAGAAGCCCCTAGCAGGCGACCTGATCTCCAGGCCCAGAGCGGGACTCATCCATCTGCGTTAAGTGGGCCTCTGCCCCTCTCTCAGGATGAAGGTCTCCTAATGCAGATGAATGAGGACCCAACCAGGACCACATTTTCCCGTTTCACCCCTGGCTGTTGAGAGAAACCTGTTATAGAGTCAGCCAGGCCTTGAAGGCGCTCCTTGCTAGAAAACTCCCAGAAAGAACGTGCCCAGGTCTATTTTTACAACCTGAGAAAATGTAGTAAAAATAAAATAGCTCGGCCGGCAGAGGTTTGGACGCCTCTACCAGAGCTSGGAGCTGCCCAGAAAACAGCATGCCCCTAATTAATTCTTCTAGAAGCTGACTCCCGACTGTTCCCTAACAGGTAGGGAGCTCCTGATGGCTAGGGACCACCAGGGCGCAGGGCTGCGGCTCTCAAGGAGGGCCCAGCTTCGGGCTTCAGCCGCAGGACCAGCCTGGCCGGGCTGGGATGGCGCGGGGCGCGAGGCAGGCTGAGGAGGCAGCGGAGCTCAGCCTGGAGGCCGCGTGCGGGGCAACTTGCAAATTTATTAATTGCTTTGCAGTTTTGTTGACTTAAATGCCACGCATTCCCTGGAAAACGGAGTGGGGGGGGCAACAACAACAAAATCTGCCAGGGGAAAATGTGTTTACAACCAGTCAATCAACTGGGCGTTGATTGCGTTTGGCGTCGCAGGGGGAATTGTGTGCTCAGCGCTYGAATATTACAGTCGGCTTTTGCCAAAAAAGCAAAAAGGGGAGGGGGGAGAGCCGCAAGAACCCCGGGAATAAGGAGGCGATGGCAGGGAGAAGCCGGCAAGGGAGATTTCAGAGTAAGAGGTTGTATCCTGGTGGATCCTTGGAAAATAAATCTTCACCTGATATTATTAAGAAACTGCAGCTCTCAGAAACAAATAGAATCAATGCGCTTTATTTTCTTTTAAGAGTCCTCGGGAATCAGGGAGGGGCTGATAGCCAGGGTATTAAAACCCGAAAATTAGATTTTATCAGGATTTCTGAACTCAGATTTCTGTCTTATTGAATTAGCGCCTCTCGGAGCTGGCTGGGCTCGCGAGCTGGCTTCTCTCGGAGTTGCCGGCTGCGCCCTCGCCTTGTGGGAAACTTGCCTCCGCGGGCGCGGGCCCCTGGAGGGATTGGGGAGCGCGCCGCGGGTTGGGGGGGGGGCCCAGCCTCTCCGACAGGTTTCCTCTTCCTTCCCTGCGGGTCGGTGGAGGGGGTGAAATTTGCTTTGGGGGATATTGGGAGGGGGGACGAGGAGGGATAGCGACCCGAGTCACCTTCCCGCCTCGGAGCTGCCCGGTAGGTGTCCAGCGCTCACCATCGGCTCAATGGGCGGGTTTCGGCAGCCCAAGTGTCCCGGCTCCGCAACTGGAGCTTTCTCTGGCCCGGGTTTGCCCTCGGAGCCCTTCTCAGCGGCCAGGGAGCCCTGGAAAGTTGGGGGCGGGGCACGAGCAGGAGGCCGCTGCGGCTGGGGTCGCGCGGGTGGGTCCCCGCGGGCCGGAGGGCGGGGCCACCTAGGACCGCAAACGGCCAGGAGTGGTGGTCCAGTCTGTGCTTCCGGCCGGCTGCAAACCGTGTGCATGGCACATGGACCAGCCCGGCAAACCCGCCGCGGCTTCTTGCTTTTCCGAAGTTGTGTGCAAACCACGAGAGCAATTGATAATCCAGCCTTTAATAAAGGCCCGGTCGGCATTGAGGGTACCCCCTCATTTAGCATCGTCTCACTTAATTAAAAGACACCGAGCAAAGCGCCCGCGAATTAGTTGCATTCTTTTTCCAGGCGCTGCTGCCAGCAGCGACCCGGTCGCCGCCGCCGCCACCACCGGCACCCACCCCGCCCAGAACTGCGACTTACTCCGGAGCGGGCGGACTCGGAGCTCGCGGTCCTCTTCCCGCCTTCTCGCTGCCTCTGCTTCCCCGGGTTCGAGTTCGACTCCGCACGGCGCTCAAGCCGGTCCTTACCTCCGTCCGCCCCCCAGCCCCGACCCTCTACCGCACGGAAAGAAGTTTCCGTCCTTGGCTGGTCAAGAGTTCTCCGTGCAACTCACACGTCCTCCAGTTTGCAGAGATGGGAGGGCACGGGATGGGGTAGCTCTGGATGGTGGCGATTAAATTGGGGTGGGGGAGCGGCGCTGGAGAAGAGTTAATTTCCATTTCATAAACAAATCCAAGCATTTTTGCAACGTCTATCCCCGCTCCACACACGCACGCATGGAGGGGAAAGAAGGGGTGGGGGAGCCAGCCAGAAAGACAAGCTACTCCTTTAAGATGCTGCTACAAACGCACACTCACACACCCCTCTCGGGGCCACTCCAGTCCTCGCTAGTAGCAGCCGCTACCAAACAACTTTTGCATCCCAGCCTTCGCTAGGCGGCTTTAAGTGGCTCCAGGGCCCCGGGAGAGACTGCACGGCCACCAAAGCCCTTTAAAAATGAAACCAGCCTGGCGAGCCGCAGCGCCTCTGCCCCCGCTCGCCTCCCGGGCTCTCCCTGCCCGCCTTACCCCGGCTCGGAGCGGCTTCCCGGAGCGGAGACCCGGGAGGCCGAGGACCGCCACCCTCTGGCGCTGCGCCTCCCCTCTGGATGGCGCTGGGTGGGGGCGAGGGCCGGAGGGCTGCGCGCCGGTGCTCCTTCCCCGCGCCGCTCCGCCGCCGCCGTGGCCGCCGCGCCGCCGCCGTCAGATCGGGGCTGGGGAGCCCTCCGGCCGCCGGGGGGGCCGCCCGCAGCCGTCCCGGAGACGCGGGCCGGGGGAGGGGGCCGCCCGCGCCGCCCGCATCGCCCGCCCGGGCCGAGCGGGAGGTCGCCGCTAACAAGTGCAAACTTTTTGGGTCCCCTGGGCGGCTCCGGGAGGACCCGCGCTCGCGCGCCGGGCAGCCCCCGGCCCGGGTGGGCTTCGCGGCTGGTCCTGGGGGCGCCGGGGCATCCCCCCGGCGCGGCGCGGGCCAGATGGCGGGGTGCTTCACTGCCCCCCTGCACTCGGCTCTAAGTTAATGCCGAGGCTAAATCCTCTTGCCATCACTCACGATCACCATCGGGGCTTTTATCTCTCGGTCTGATCCGGGCTGCGTAACTTCCTCT